GTTAAAATTTTAAAATCATCCCTGAAGAATGTCTGTGCTAAACAATGTAGGTAAAAGTTTAATATATGTTTTCCAGTAGAGTTCTACCTGAATTTTTGTATTATTTTACAGACATGATAAGCACACCCTTGGTAAAATCCTGCAACATGCAGCATATTTTGGTTTTAGTAGTAGTAGTAGTAGTAGTAGTAGTAGTTGTAGTTGTTGTTGTTGTTGTTGTTGTTGTAGTAGTAGTATTAGCAGTAGCAGTGAAGAGTAGCAGAAGTTTTATGACCCAGTACTCAATGAACAGTATGGAGGAAGGATGGGCTATTTTATTTGTCCGTTATTTACTCCTGCCTGGCTGTAAAATGCGCTCTTTGCTCTGGGTGTCCGCTGGGGGCGGCTTCTGACTGCTCTCCTGCCATGTGTCGCTAGCTTTAGCATGTAACCGCCAACGACAGCGATGAGCTAATGACCGTTATGAACGTTTCCCCCTAATTCATCTTCCCGTATTTGCTCGACTTCATTCTCAGGCACCTTCCTTTCATTTTCAGCTTTCCCAGAAATCCCCAGTCCGTCTCCACACCTGTCCTCCGTAACGCAAATGAGATAAATGTTGCTTAGAAACACTTTCATCGTACCAGTAGTTTGTTTATTTATATAGAAGTTGGATTCTTGGGTTTTTCGGAGCTGCAGTGTTGCCGCGGAGTCGGCGTGGGTGAACTGTGTCCCCAGGTGTGACTTTGGTGTCTCTTTTCAGGTACCATTGTACAACACGGACCAGGATGGCAGTGACAGTCCCCGGAGCAGCCTTAATAACAGTCTGTCAGATCAGAGCCTGGCGTCAGTGAACCTGAACAGCGGAGCCACGGTGCATAGCTACACGCCGGTACTGCGCCCTGCCTCCGCTTTGACCCTGCCCTCAACGTGTGTGTGTGTCTGTGTGTGCGTGTGAGATCTGCTGTGTGAATGGCCCAGCTGCACTTACGCCTAGTCGAGTCTTTGACAGCCTCTACGTTGGCAATGTACCTTTCGCGTCACTTATGTCGCTTCAGATAAAGGCGTCTGTTAAATAAAGTAAATGTAAATACCCAGTTCATCTATAAAAACATTTGGTAATAGGAGCCCGCTGCCTTAAGTTTGCAAGTGCAAGTCTCAGAAGGGTAGATTATGATCGCGAGCATTTTAACATACAAAGTTTAGACAAGCGTACGGGGGCAGCGCCTTTGGATGAGTGTGGCAGTCCTGGTTTCAGCCTCATGCTAGCAGATGTTTCCAAACATCAGAGGTTATGAAGTTCATGGCCGCCCTCCATGAGGAGGGGTTGTGTGCTGGGAAGTACTTCATAATTGTAGGAGTGCGAACGAAGGTCCACACACACACACACACACACACACACACACACACGCACCCTACCATAGTGTACAGAGTATAAGAGCCATTCAGGGGTGCCAGCAGTGGGTGGGGGGTCTTTCAGTGCCTTTGCTAACATGCTTGGAGCTCGTTATCTACCCTCCCACTGAGGAGAGCTGCATAGCTGTCCTTCTAATTGTCAAAAATCAGCTATTAAACTAGAGACGGGAGCTTGCCATCTATAAGCAGCCTAACTGGCAGGCTTCCAAGACCCGCCACAGTTCATCGTGCGACGAATCGATGAAATGATTTGCCATCTGCTCTGCCCCACTTTATCCATGCGTGCAGTGAATACACACACACACACACACACACACACACACGCACACACAGGGAACGGTGAATTATCACGCTTTCCCATTCTTTTGCTCCACGTGAAGTGTGTCAGCTGGCAGCACCGAGTGAATATGGCGGGTGAGTTGGCATTCAGCAAAGCTGCCGGTCAGTCCAGCTACTTCATGTGCTGGACCTCTGTGATGACAGAAATCGCCACCTTGCCTAAGTACATTAGATATGGATTTTTCTGAATTTAGAAAATTTGTTTGATCACTTTTTTTTTTTAATCTTCCTGGCTTTCTTTCCTTTTAATTTACAGCAAACATATCGCAGATTGGTGCTGTAAGAGGAATGCGGACCGCAATCAAAAAGAATATTGAAAGTGTAAAATACAATAAACAACATTAGGAGAACAGAATATGGGGTTGGTTAGACGGCAGTAGGCTGTTATTAAGCAGATGAGTGTTTCTGGGTTAGTCTGCTAGCAGTCAGAGTGAATCCAATCATCGATACGTCAATAGCTTTGTACAAAAGCCTAATCACCGGACTCGGCGTCAGCATAGTGAAAAGTTTCTCTGTCGTAGGAAATGGGTTTTTTCAGCACCCTGAGACGTCTGTAAGGTTGTTATTGTTTTCCCCACTGTTAACGTTCTGCGTTTAACAGCCTGCTGTCAGTCCCTGATTAGTTCAGTCTGATCTGGTCTTCACTGGTTTCGGCAGAGCAGTCTTGAACAATCGTTGCTGTCTTTGGAATCATTAATTTATCAAAATTTCATAAACCTCTATGGCAAAAAATGGAGGCAGTTTCTGGTCTTTTTGCTGGATTGGAAATATGTACCATGTTCATAGTTTTTCGTTAGTATCCCATTTTAGGGAGGAAAAAATTCCAACTTGGTCATAAAGATGGAGCTAAGTTGGCCAAATGCTTTAAGGAATTATCCCGGGAAGCAGTCTGGGCTGGAGGCTCTCTTTGGGACATAAAACAAATGGCCTTCCAGTAAAAGAGGAACGTGGGCTTATCCTGGTGTGGTTCTGAGCCTTTTGGTGAGGTCTGGTTTCTGAGTGAACATTACACCATGTAACATTCATTTGAAGAACAAATTGGTTGCTACTTTGTCCACCTTCTGAATATTTGTGTTTGTGTTGCTGTCCAGAATCCTCCATTCATGGCATTGTTGTTTAGTGAATGTGAACATAATCCAAGTCCAGCCCAGACAAATTGGAATTCTTCGTAATTTGTGGAATTTGGAGGTTCTTCGTCCCCGAGTTCTCCTCTTTCCAGGTCTGTTCTGTGTGTCTCATTTGTCATTTTCATAAGAGGCATATATTTCTCGGCCTTATAGCATCACCTTAGCATAATCCCATATTATATCAGGAATGACTGGAGGAATCCATATTATTGAGCCTACGTTTGCGTAATCTATCCAATAACCTTATTAAGGAAACCAAAGCTGGGGAGCAGAGAAGAATTCAGCTTTGAGGATTTAGACTTGAGATTTTACTTGCTAAAATTAAGCTTTCGATCCACGTGAGCTTGTCCTGAAAAGTGCATGGCTCCCGTTTCACAAGCACACACATTGTTCTAAAAACTGGTGATGGGAAAAGTAATGCAGACAGGAATGGCGTTTATGTACGCTGGAACAAAACGTATGCCTTCAAAAAATACGACTGATCTCTCTGCAGATGTCAGGCGCTCCGTTTTCAGCATTCAGTGTTTTCAGTCTTTGTGTAAATTTGAGGTGTTTTTGTAGGATGCGGTGAGTAGCCCACTGGAGCTCTGGATCCAGGACGTCCATCATTAGCTGTGATGCCAGACGTCACTGCTGGGTTCATTCATGGTTACACCCATGCTGACCCTGTAGCTGACATGCATATGTCACATTACAAGTGGGTATTATTTTATATAGCTATAAAACTTAACAGCAGCACCAGCAAATGGGGAAATATGTTTCTGATAATGAAACACCTTTTTATTTCTTTATTTCTAAACGCAAGGAATGCAATGAGTTTTTAGGATTTTGCAGCTTCTGAACTAGACCCCAAATTATATATTGGTGCTTTGGTCTCTTAACTAGTGTCACCCTGGAGGACAACTCTACAGACACAAAAGACCTGTAGCATTGTGGGAAATTCTAACAAGGCGAATCAGTGAACATTTAAAAAACATCAAATGCAGCTAGAAGAACTTGGCTGACATCAAAAGATTCTGGTAACGGGTTAAGGGGATGGTGGCCAGTCAATATGTCCATTGTGTAGCTCACTCAGTAACTTCACACCACGTTGTGATGCACTTTGCCCATCCGGTAGATCCATAAGGCTCCGCAGGCAGGGTCCTAAACCTGAAAATGTCCTGCTGTGGAAATGGGCAGCTTTTTGGGGGAAATGGAATCAATGAAATGAGTCAGTTTCATAGCAAGTAGCTGAAGACCCCCCCCCTCCATCAGAGCCCTCAAGTACCTCCTGAGGCTTCCTCACCCTCGAGCCCCCAGTATTGCTTTCCTGCCGCCATTCCCTAACGAAGGCGCTAATTAGTGACGCTCTCATTTACGACTTTGCATTGTAGCCCGTCTCACATATAAACAAGGAGGTAATAAGAGCCTCTGCCTACAACCCCCCATCCCCCCCGCCCCGGGTGTCCAAAGCCCAGTCACCCAGACTCCAATTAGGTCGGGTCACGTGAGATCACGGTGAGTCAGGCGACGCCTATAGAGTCCCCCGTTCAGGATGATCGCTCCTGGCGCTTAGCGGGATGCACGGGCGCCGGCGGGGGCCTGCCCGCCTCTGCCCGCCTCGGCCCGCCTCTGCCCGCCTCTGCCCAGTGCAGATACCGAAAGTGGCAGGACACTGTGCACCTCTGTGCACCTCCCTGCCCCCAGCAGACAGGGCGCTGATGAACATACCCATTTGCTGCATGGTGCTGGCCAGCTCCACTGTACGCTTAGAGTGTCTCTAATCATCAGTCCCCTTTAAAGTGTAAAGATGCATCTTGTCAGTTTAAGCTTCTGAGTGTCAGACACTTTGGCTGAAGACCAGAAACGTTTTCTGGCTTTTATTTACAATTTGGTGCTGTGGTACAGTGTGGTTTCAGACCTGTGTGTGTGTGTGTGTGTGAGAGAGATGCATGCATGTCTGCCTGGTGTGTGCATCCGTCTGTCTCTCTTCTCCGTCTATGTGGCACCTTCCGGACCTCTAGTGTGACTGTGTGACTATTGTTGCCAGTGTTACCTTGTAGTGACATTGTTAGGTCAACATTGTAATTTTCCAGATCAAATGTGGAAGTCTTTTCAAAGGATGACTCATTTGGCTGCCCCCCCCCGCCATGTCTGCAGGTTACCAACCACCCAGAACCTGTTTCCCAGTCCATGAGTCTCCAGCAGCCGCCACCCCAGCCTCAGTACAGTATCCCCGACCGGGACAAGCAGCTGCTCTTCTCTGACTTCGAAGATCTCAGTGCCTCCTTCCGCAGTCTCTACAAGTCTGTTTTCGAGCAGTCCTTCGGCCAACAGGGTGAGTGTTCTGGCCTGCCCTCCTCTGGAGCAGCACTGAGGACCAGACCCTGCCCCCCCCCCAGGATGGGAAGGGCTGGGTTGCCATATGTGAGCCATAGGTGTTCGTCACAAACCCAGAGGTCAGACTTAGAGGCTGCCGTGTCACAGGGAATCATCACTGAGTTGTGATGTATCGTTTAAATATGAAGTTTGTTTGGGCACTGCAAAGAGATAAATATATATTTTCGTTTGAGAATAAGGCTCAATTTCAGATTCAGAAAATAAGCGTCACAAAACAATCAGGAAATGTGGAGTGACAGGCTGCAGTCGTGCCGCCCCTCTGCTGGCTTTAAAGCTTGGTGGCAGGAAATCAGGCTGCATGGTGATGAGGTTCCGCTCTGAGGGAGTTTTTAGCTGCAGCCTGCGAGTTCCTGGGGTCATGCTCTACCTTGAAGTGGTTCGCTGGCCTTTACTGTCAGCCACAGTAGTTCAGAAACATCGATATTTATCTGAATGTGCAACTAGGGAGGGTTCTGGGTAAGAGTCAGGGGACGTCACAGTCGTTTTTACGTGACAGCGGATTGCGTGTCATAGCCAGCACCAACAAGCACACTCAGCTGGAGCTATTAACGGGGTGAGAGCGAAGCTCCACATTTCCCCATCAGCGTCCCTGTCCTCTAGCCAGCATGCTAAGTTCGCGGCTTCAGCGTTAGCCATGAGGCTAGCACAAGCACTCTAGAGGCAGCTGCTAATCGCTTTCAGAGTTCCTGTTTGGACGGCGTGCTCCTCGCACGATAAGTGATCACAGCTGACATCATTCAAACGCGCTCTCTCTAGACCATTGCCGCATCCCGGAGATGGGAGCTGGGGGACGAGAGATGTTTTTTTATTTTTTTATTTTTATTTAAAAAATAAAAAATGTGTGGGAGCCCCTGCAGGACTGACATTCTGTATAAGGCTCCCTGACCTCTTTAATCCTTGTTTTTAAAATTTTGTCACAAAAACAGTGCCAGTCGCCAGAAATTCTCGCCAGAAATCCTTTAAAGCACTCGCGGCGGAGGGGAGAACCGCAGTCTGTCTGGCCCTCATGAATGGATTTGTGCAGTCTTGGCTTAGATGTCAAATCCAATTAAGAGACCCTTGAAATGTCAGGCCTTTTAGAGTATGTAACGTGTGATGCTGTTTATTTACTGCAAACGGCATTAATACATTGTGTCTTTCGGCTGTGAGGTGTCAGAATAATCTTGCATGTGCCACCCCCCCCCCCCCAGCCACCTTTATGAGACCAGCAGCTTTTGAGTAAAACCTAATAGAACAGCCAGTGTGTGCTGCACATTCTGTTTGATATGCAAAGCCCACTGCTTACCCTAACTGGCACCCCGCTCATCCTAAGCAGCAGCCACAGCCTGTGTCGCCGGTTGATTAATGCAGGTGTTTTCCGCTCAGCTCTCTCTCGCTTACCTCTGCGCCCTCGGGTCGTCATTTTGGGGGGGGGGGGGGGACTGTGCCCGTTGTGAGAAGTGCAGTATTGAGGTTGGTTTTCTGCCCCATCTGCAGGTCTGATGGGCATTCCCTCAGAGGGCTCTCAGTGCCCTTACCAGGACTGCCCCAGCCCGCACTCCCACCAGGGCAGCCAGGTGGCGCTGTCGCACGCCGCTCAGCTGCAAGCCCAAAACGCCCACGGCTCGCCACATGGCCAGCACCGCCACCAACACCATGCCCCACACCCTCAGCACTCCCCACATCCGCATCCATCCCAGCATGCCCCGCCACACGGGCACCATCCGGGCCAGCACCCGCCTCTCTCTTCCCAGCATGCACAGCACTCCCAGCATGCACAGCAGCACAGCCAGCACCCCTCCCAAGCACAGCACTCTCAGCACCCTTCCCAGCATGCACAGCAACACGGTCAACACCCTTCCCAACAACATCAGAACCACCAGAATCAGTCCCATTCAGCTCAGCAACAGATGTCCTGCAACTCTGGTAAGGAGGGGCTTCTCTTCTGTGAGCCTGGCATCAGCAAATCATGTAAAATAGCTATTTTCATGTTGCACGTCTTCCTGCTCCTTGATTTAAAACTGTAGTACCAGTACTGATGCTGTCTGCAAAATTAGATTTTAGAGTAATACTGACTTCTAGTGGTAAGCTGTGGTTTTTTTGCGTTGTTCATTTTTGTATTTCTTTGTTCTGCCTGTAAAATTTTGCATTTCTCTGACCCACTTGGGTCCACCAGTGGGTCTCCCTTCGGACTGGTACCCCAACCTCGATGCCCTGAAGGAGAGCTGTCGGATCGCCAGCAGCTACAACTGGGCGGACGTGGACCTCTCACCCTTCCAAGGTAACGCCTCCGGCCGGGATCTCCTCTGCCAAATACCACCCAGTTTACAGTAAAGTCAGTTTTTGGTGGCCTGCAGAGAGCCGCTGAGATCCTTCGGCTGATGGTTTGTAGGAAAATCAGTTCGTACTGATGAATAGAAGACAGAGACCTGGAAGGAACCGTCTGCTGTTCCTTGTTATTCCACTAAAATACATGTTTCATGTAACTCGGTAGAACCTGTTTCTTAGCTAAGCTACTGCAATAGGTAACTGAAACAGAGATCCAAATAGAGGGAGGGGGGCTCGAGGGGGTTGTTGGAAAAGAACCAGCCAATCGGTGGGTGGTTCTGGAATGTTCCGTGGGGTCCGTATTAGGCCTGGGTTGGATCACAGTGGCTTCCGGGATTCCTGCGCCCGCCCCATTCCCACTCCAGAGTCCAAACTGCCCACACTTGATGCTGAAATGGTCTCTTTACCCACATCATGTCCCTTATTGCCTCTTATTGCCAAGTCAGTCCCTCTTTGGCTTCGATATCTGGCTCAGTATCAGACTCATGCTAGATGTTATGCTGAATATCATCAGTTACATGGAGTATACAGCAGTATTTAAGATGGCACCATAATAAGAGAGAAATATATTTACAAAGCAGTTTTACGCCAAATTCTTCATTTGTGGTCTTTAAACATATCAGTAATGCAAATTAGTATTCGTTTTCATTAAGATTAATGAATTGTTCATTGAATTAATTGTTCGTAGTGCTGGATTTGCAGTAAATCACTGTGACGATGTGTCAGATGCAGAACAGTTTTCAATCAGCTGCACAAGCAAGCGTAATTAATTCAAAAATCAGTGGAAGTGTGCAATTAAACATTTTCCTTTTATGTTTCGTACTGGGGTTTGAGTTGTTGCATGAAACAATGGGTATTAACTGTGTGGAGTTAGGGTTTGCACATCTACAGCTTATAGACGCTTTAAATAGTGAATCTACAAGGGCTTTCTATGTAAAAACTGCAGTGTCTGGTGTGATGTCTTTTTTTTTCCTTTTTTTCCCGAACATTTCCTCTTACTGTCCTTAGTTACTGGGACAGGTCGCCTTTTTGCTTACAGTGTGTACTGCTTACTAACTTTTAAATTGCAGTGTTTTCAGTTGTATAAAAAAATCTTTCTGCGTATTATATCCACAATAAAAGCCAGATGCCCACAAATTCCAGGAGGGAAAAGGGGTAAAACACATTTGAGTGTTTTACAGTCTTGTTTTGGCCATAGTATATATGGCATCATTAAAGGACCTTGCTCTTATAGCCCAGCGACGCACCCAGTATTTAATTGAGGAACATGCATTACTCCTATAAATTTGCTAATTAATTTCTAAATATTAGAAAATGATTTCCACATTAGTAACTTGCTACCCCACCTGCTCCAGTCACCCCAGCAGACGCTGACAGCAGCGGTCCCACTGGTTCTTCTGGGCGGTGACCACCAGGGCATGCTTGCCTATAATATGAATTTTGCATCTTGAATTTACTACATTGAAATGTACAACAAATTTCAGAGAGCGCTTCCTATTGATAACGTGAGTCGCCCAGTTCATATGATGTTTGTGGTGTTCTTTTCATTTGTGTTTATCCAGGCTTAAAAGAGAGCATGAGACAAGCTGATCTGAATAACTGGTCTCTGGATCCATCACAAATTGCAGACCTCTGTTCATCGATCAACCAGTTCTTCGCCCGCACTGGCATCTTCCCACCACAGGGGGCAGTGCAGTCTCCCATGTGCCATGGCTCCATGCACCCTAACAAAGCCAACCAGCACATTAGCACAGGTCAGCTCGCAGCACTATAATACAACAGTCAGAATACAGAAACAGTTTAGCGCAATGTGCAGTGTATCTAGTGTATCTAGTTCATGTGTCTGTTCTTTCAGGAAATCTATACATGGACTCCAGGCAAAACATGCCTTCCATGATGGGCCCCCCCGGCTATCCCCATGTGCCCCCCATGACCAGTGCAGGTCCCACCTTAACAGGTAACTGCCCCCTTCCCATGTGTGCTCATTGTCTAAGGACCCCCTCATGAAATCCAGCAAGTCAGACGCCCCCCCCCTCCCCCGTTCTTACTGCAGGGCACCATGCACAGATGAACCAGCAGCATATGATGTCACCCGGAAACTTCCAGATGCGTCGCATGCCCGCCGACGAGATCCAGGATGACTTTGACTGGGACTCCATCGTGTAGGGCCCGCGCAGCCGTGTTGGGCGTTCATCAGTGCGTGAGGTTGAGAGGCTATGGTGGGCCCGGCCGGGCCATCCTATAACCAGGGCGGGGGGTGTCATGGGAGAGGCCCCCCCCGGACCTACCCAAACCACTCACAAAATAAGGCCGAGTTCCTCTGAAGACAATCATATTTAGTAGGATGATTTTTGTACCATCTGGCAGGTAGTTCATACTTTAGCCTGAGCAAGCTGCCCCTTTCCTGACTTGTCCAATCTGGTATTCATTTGTGTGTCGCCTGGTAGAGGCCTTGTTGTTCCCTTTCGTGGGGGGGGAGGGGGGGTGTTACCCATTACCTCCCAGGCTGTGGGGTTCAAGGTGGTTGAGTGTCAAGAGGCGACCTGTGACCTAGGGCCTGCGTCTCTGTTTAACGCTTCATTCATTAATGCAGCAGTGTTCGTCACCAGTGTGCTTAATAGTAACACACCCTGAACAGCAGCATGTGCCAGAATAGCCTCATGGGGGTGTCATCTGTATGCTTACTGATAAGTAACAGCTCAGATTTTAATTTTGGACAGTCTGGCAGTACAGGCTAAGTGATTCCCAGTTGTCAGCACCCTGTTCTGCCACTGTGAGGCAGTATTCCACATTCTTTTACTTCAGGGACCTGTCGTACCACGTAATTGTCCACCTGAAGCCCACCGAGACCGGAGTTGATTTTGCTTTGAGTTAGTCGAGCTGGAGAATCGTGCTTCCGAATGACTGGTTCGCCATCTAGTGGCCGTCTCGGCACAGAACCCGAAACCGAGAATGACAGGGTTTTTCTTACCTGCTGTTGCAGTGGGTGTTTTACCGCAACATTAATCCTGTTAAAGAGCAGAATGTGACAGTGGAAGCTGCCTCCACTGCCAGAATCCTCAGTTCTGCCGCAGTGTGTCGGATTAACGCAAATTATCTCCTGGATCTCAGCACCGAAGCCAGCGAGGTGCCGTCATGTGGCGTGTGCATGTGTGTGCGCGTCACAGGTGAGGCAGAGCTGCTGCACTCCACAATGTACACGGCATCACCACTCCTAGGAAATTCTACTCCTGTTCTTCCTGTATGCTGTAATTGTGTTTTTTTTAGCTCTGTTTAATATTCAGACTAATAACCAATCAGCTGATACAGCCACTTCTCTGTCAGCCTGTCAGAGGGGCTTTTGTGCCCTCTGTGTGACTTGTGTGCTTGGGGCTGACGTAGCTAATCCAGTGCGGCATCCAGTCATTGTGTGCTGAACTGCAGGCTCCCCTGCCGGCTCCTGCGTTTGTGCACAGGAGTGAGGCGTCACCCGGCCCTGTGCACTATGCTGACACTGGCTTGGACATTTAGCATCCATTGTAAAGGGTAAGTGTCTGGCACGAAGATGAACTGCCACCCCCCCAGGGCTCAATTAATGAGTGGGGTAGCCTGGCAGAGGTATGTGATTCCCCCCCCCCCCAATGTAACAGCTGCTCTCAGCTTGTGTCGAAGAAGCACTTTTCACTCTGACACTGTTAGATTCGTGTTTGTGTCCCGTGTGATTTGAGAATCTGCAGCTTCAGTCAGCCACTGATCTCATGCTGCTTTTTAATTGGATGATAAATCATAGGGAATCCCTTTGAGGCTGTAGTGATTCCTCTGTTTTGAATTGGCCCCTGTGAGGGACCTTGTCCTTACACAGGAAAGGCCCCCACGGCCGCTGGCGTGCTCCCTCGCTCACTCACCCCTGTCCAGCTTGCAGGCCTGAACATTTCTCCAGATTCAGGCTGTGACTTGCAGGGGCGTGTGGGTGAGTTTTAATTCGGACCTGTCACATGGCCAGTGCCGCTGAACATGAGAAAGATGAACGGGCACCATTCTGACAACATCGCAGCAATAGTAACCCTGTTTGGTCTGACGCAAGCCATCCAATCCAAGTGATAAGCTAACTTTTGGGTCAAATTCTGATGAACTCTTCTTCTGAAAGTTCTGGAAGTGTTGGAAGGATGAAGATTCCTGGGGATTCTGTGGTCTTAACTGAAGGGCATATGATTGGCTCCCCCGGGTAATGAGGGCGGGGGGGGGGGGGGGGGCATGGAACCTGTGAGAACAAAAAAAAAAACAGGAGGGGTGTTTTTATCTCCAACTTTGAATGAGTAAGAGGGAGAGAGGAATGTTGGGGGGTGGGGGGGGGCATGCTGAAATGGAGACATGGAAAAAGCAACCAATTAAGAAAAAGAGTGATTCTTAAATCTGTGTGTGTGTTTTCGTGTTTTTTAAGGCAAATCCACTTTTCCTGTACCGGGGTGATTGTACAGCATTGGTTAGGGAAAAGCACATGGAGGAGGCCTTGTTCTGATGTAAGCGAACTCTGCCCAAGGCCCGTTTTATTCAGTGTTGCTGTTTGTCGTGCTTACTGTAAATATGTCTTTTTAAATGGTCCTTTTCCCCCCTCTGGTTGTGCGTGGCATCACACAGGAAGGTGGTGCATAGAGAAAAATGGACAGGATACAGAGTATTTTATTATTCATTCAAAAGGCGATACAGAATGTATATATATCTATATTGTATATATGTGATGGAAATGCATTGGCTTTGTGTGACCTTTTACCTGTTTCAGTGTTTAGAGATGTTATTCGCTGTTTTGTTTTTATTTTGAATCTTGTATTTTGATTTTTTTATTGCACGTTTTATTACAGTATCATGGCTGTCTAAAGACACAGCTAGTCTCTGTATCGGTTTAGTGCTGTACAATACCTGTGTCATTAACAGTTGACCACCCACGCCGACCCCTTGCCCAATATGCATGAATGGCACTTACAGAAATAAAATGTTAACTTCACTGTGGAATCGCGTGCTTTTACCTTCCTCTGCTCATCTGTGCTGCGTTAAGTGCTCAAGAGCAAGTGCTGTCTGACTGGCTGGTTTTCTATTGGTTAGTCACTGTTTTTGGTCACTGCTTTGTTGGTTTCTAAAAAAGTGTGAATCCGGCAGTATTAACAGCACACAGTAATGTTTCTCACTGTCACTTCTGAGGTCGCCTACAGTGTGTTACATAGTTCCAGGCTTGCATATCTGTCAGACAGACGAAGTTCTTCATGTTGCACATTTATTTGGATTGGACTTCTTTGAACTGGGGCAAACTGCGTTTAGATCTCTCTCTGGTGTTAGTTTTATACAGACCTGATCCTGCTGCTCACTTAATTGTATAAAAATCTGTACTGTACTTTACTGGGCTGAATATGCAGCCTGTTTGTCTGCTCAGCCGTAGAGCACATGAGCCAATTGATCACTTCAAAAATGTTTTTTTTTGGTGATTACTCAGAACGCTTAAACATGTCATGCTGTGACAGTAGGGAGAAAAAACACTCTTACTGTGTCATTGTCATTGTTATTTTCAGAGTCAGAAATTGTATGTATTCAGGGGTCACTTTAGTATGTATCCCTACATAGTACCACTTCAAGGGTTATCAAGATCAGGGAAGCCATTCTGGACACCTGCACTGAGCTGTCACTGGACTCCCTTATTAATTAGAGGAATTGCATAATTATGCTCTCATGCTGACACTAGGGCTGAGCGATTTATCAATTTCAAATCGAAATCAAGATTTAGGATATGCATTATACAGGGCGTCTGACCCAGGGTTTGAAACTGTCCTGAGAACAGTTTTCCAGCTTCATGCTGTCTTCCTTGTGTGACAGTGATTCTCACCAAACAGAACTGGGCCAAGCAGGGGCGCTCTAAGGTGGGGGAAAGTTCCAAGGCCCCCTGAGTGACAGGGGACCTAGACAATTTGGAAAATAACTGGTTTGGTCTGGACTGGGGAGCCGAATATGACATGCCTTCATGGGGCCCAAGGCGACTGCGCATATGCCCACAAACAGCAAACACATGAAACCCAAGGAAAACATTACATTCGTGGTGCAAAAAAATATTGATTCAGCTGTTGAGCTGTAAGTGAATTACCTGCCTATTGCATGGTGAGAGAGAGTTTACAGAAAGGTCCTATTATCAGGGGTCCAAGAAGTGTTTGCTGCTTTTTTTACTGGAATTGTTTTATTTGTACTTTTATTACTTTATTTAAACG